ACGATATTATGAGCCACGATCCACGCCGTCCGGGTACAATGACACTCACTCACTCACTCACTCACTCACTCACTCACTCACTCACTCACTCACTCAACCAAGTCACCGGACCTAACTATCCATTTGGTGGCCTCAGTCGATCCCTTTGCTGGATATCTATTTTAACCCGAAATCCCACGTCATTTTAAACGTGACGTTTATCAATGTAATATTTGACCTCGATGTTAAATATTCACTCACTCACTCACTCACTCACTCACTCACTCACTCTACGTAATCGAATCTTGGTTTGGCAACCTGATGGCTCGTAGCATGAGCAACATTATGCACCCTCGTTGTACGATGACATACAGTCAGCCAGGCCACACACTGTGTGGCCTTCATCACGGTCTTTCCTATTCATTCAACTGACACGCTATGATTTTTCACGCTGAAACATTTTCCCAATCGGCGTCAAAATCTTGAATTCACTCTTTAACTTTCGGATGTGGATTACATTTTTTTTTATCACTGATTAAGTAAATGCCAAATGTTTAATCAAAGCTGTGCATGCCATAATTGATTAAGTAGCAGACAAATACAACACAAAGTTTTTAGAGAATGTAAATGAACTCACGCTTTGCCTGTCACACACTGCCATCTCTCTCTTCATCACCAGCTGACATCAGCTGTGACTACCTCTCATTTGTCACACGTGTGACAGTAAGCACCTGGTTAATATGTACAACAAATCTTGACGAATATAATTTCTAGGGTCACTTTGTACACCTCATCCAAGAAATAGCAGCATTTAACAAAATAACCAGATGCTTGTCAATAAACAATATCACTATGCCGTGTCACCAATAATCAGGAAATAATTATTAGGAATAATAAAACAGTGGTTAGCCTACTAACATTATCGTCATTACATACACATTTACAGATCATATATCGGAGTCCAGTTCCTGGCATTTATTGTTTCAAAACATCGACGGTTTGATAGTTTCAATAATTGGAGATAATCGCGATCAATAGGAGTTCACAGGAAGAACGTTCCAGTCGCTAGGAACACAAAATTAATGTCTACGATTTTTCTGTAAAGCTGATAAAAGTTTCTCGAGTTAAACTGATTCTAAAAGGGATGTCAAGTTATGATTATCATCAGCTGTGAGGGCCAGCGACTTCATCCAACCCCATAAATTGCAGGAAGTTGCACTATTTCGGATTTTTACAAACAAATGTTAAATAATAATATGGCCCCGTGTTGTTCGTTCATTCAAATGATGGGACCTTAGTGAAAAAATAATAATTGGCCGCTTCCAGTTGGAGCATCATTTGTCTTTTGTTGGCGGTTGGTAATGCTATTATTTTGAGCACCGTAGGAAGTTATTATGATTGACGAATACTACGATTAAAAAAATTAACGAGATGCAATTTGTGAAATGGTTGTTATTCTATGGGTACGCTGTTTTCAGTGTAGGATATGAATTAGATATGTTTAACAACGTACGGGTTGACAATATTTCGCAATATATTTGAAATAATGTGTAATTCGATTACTGGATCAAAATAAATTATTTGTTTTACCATTACATGTACGTTATCTCGAACTCCATTGTCTATATAATTATTATATCGTTAAAAACCGTGTAACTCGAACTCCGTTTTTTAAACACATCGTTTAAGACGGAGTATCTCGAACTTCATTGTCTTAATTTATCGTTTAAGGCCCTTTAACTCGAATCCCATTATCTCGATAGATCGATAAGGCGGTGTAGCTCAAACTGTATATAGTTAAAGGCGGCGTAACTCGAACTCGATTATCTGGACATATCTTTTATACGGCGCAACCAGAAACCGGTAATCTTGATATATCGCTTAAGACGATGTTGTTTGGTGGCCCAGGCAGGATATTTATCAGATTTATTGTCTTATACCTGCACAGCGATTGTCTCGAAATATGGATAACTCGACATGAAATGAAAACTCGTTTATCCAGATTGACGAAGTATGGATACGGAGTGATATTCCTTTGGACATACATCGGCGCTCTCAACAAGATAGTCCGGATTCCAAGGATGAGGATTAAATATGTTTGATCATTTCTCAGTTGTCTCCAAGGCCTTACTGCATTTTGAAATTAGTTGAAACTGTGTAAGTATTGAAGTCAGTTACTGGTTCACGCAAGTGTTCAATGTCATATTTTGTCCTTAACATCTGGGGTATAATAGGTCTTCAGCAACCCATACTTGCCGTAAAAGGCGACCATGCTTGTCGTAAGAGGCAACCAACGGGATCGGGTGTTCAGGCTCGCTGACTTGGTTGATGCATGTCATCGTATCCCAATTGTATGGATCGATGCTCATGATATCAATCACTGGATTGTCTTGTCCAGACTCGATTACTTACAGACCGCCGTCACATAGCTTGACTATTGCTGAGTGCGGCGTTAAACAACAAACCATCCAACTAGCCTTAACATATGCATAATTCAGCATGAAAGTATACACAGCTACGTTAAGACAAATCACCTCAAATTAAAAAAAACACCGATTGGTAATCTCGTACTTCATAACTAAAACCTAGCGAACTTGAGGACGTCATAATATAGATGTCTGTCCTTATGGCAAGCAACTAGACAACAGTGTAGTGAATGTCAAGTGACACAATTCGAGCTTACTTTATGATCTGCTGAATGAATTAACAAAATATGAGGAGATAATGAATTAACGTGACACATGTGCTTCAATCATGAATTCCCGAGCGTCCAAGACTATCTGTTTTTCCTTACACTCCAAACATCAATGTCAAACTAAACACGTATGAGTTCAAAATAAATCTCACGATGTACATTTTCGTGGAATTATAAGAGATTCATTTTTAAGAGGTCTTATTTGCTTTCCTTTCTTAAGATGTGATCGCAGTAATGAAATAGATTCTAAAGCTTCAGTAATGATTACTCGATATTATTTAGGTATGTTACCAATTACTGTCACTCACGTCATACATACGTTCGCTGCATTCATAATCTGCTTCGTGTTTAATTGATCATGTCTCGAGTGAGTGAGTTGGATTTGACGCCGATTTGAACAGTATTTCGGTTAAATATAAGTTTTGACGCCGTGATGTGGATGGTGAACAGCCAAGAGCTAGAGTAAACTCACTCACCGACTCTCTCCAGTGTTTCTGACCCGGTAACAACCAGGATCAATCTGTTCAGGTAGACATCATTAATACAATTAATTATTAATGGCTGATTCAAATAAAGTGGACAATCAAGAGAGCTCGTCGTCGACACCGAGCTTAGTGAGGCTTCCACTGACGGAAATCAGGCGAGGTGAGATGAAATGGGGTTTAACGTCGCGTCCAAGATTATTGCACTTATATAGCGACATGCATGCACGTGTGTGTGTGTGTGTGTGTGGCTGCTTGTACTAGTCCGGACTGATGCCGATTTATAGTGCTAGCACACTGAGATACCATGCCGCGGTTCAACATGAATACCCCACTCAGACACAGTATACTGACTCCGAGCCGACCAGTCCTTGTTTTAGCCCTTTAATGCCGAGCGCCAGACAGGGTAACAACAAGTACCATCTTTTAACGTCTTTTGGTATGACGCGGCTGGGGATCGAATCCCGGACCTTCCGCTCTCCGGGCGGACGCTCTACCACTAGACCACGGAGGCGGTGACGGACATCAGGACCATGGAGCCGGGAAGAGAACCCGACACAAACACTCGGTTGCATTTTGAGTAAGCATCCAGTAGTTTGACGAACGGAATTAGTTGAAACTGTGTAAGTATTGAAGTTAGTTACTGGTTCACGCAAATGTTCAATGTCATCTTTTGTCCTTAACATATAGTGAATATAGTAGAATAGGTCTTCAGAAAACCCATGCTTGCCGTAAAAGGCGACTATGCTTGTCGTAAGAGGCGACCAACGGGATCGGGTGTTCAGGCTCGCTGACTTGGTTGATGCATGTCATCGTATCCCAATTGTGTGGATCGATGCTCATGATATCAATCACTGGATTGTCTGGTCCAGACTCGATTACTTACAGACCGCCGTCACAAAGCTTGATATGAAACCAGAGTTTAATTATTTTCACTAGTGTGAGACTGACATATTGCCTAGCAACACATTTCTAGTGAACTTGCTGTGGTAATGAATACTTGTTTTGAAGATTTAATGGATGGTTTTATGAACCCCGATCTCCTTCTCTCCAGCAGACCTTGATAAAAAACAAAACTTCATGATCAGGAAGCATGTTCACAGTGTGTTGTTGATCTAATCTCGGTCTGCCGCATTCTAAAATGCAGATTACACAGTTTGTCGAAGTCGTACAGGCAATAGAAGTCTTTGTAGACGACGTAGCTATCGCTGTAGTAGTAGTCGTATTCACAGTCGTTGAAGGAGTCCCGGTTGTAGTCAATGTCACAGAGGTATACAGTGTCGTTAGTAGTCAGTTTTGTGGTCGTATTCACAGTCGCAGTGGTAGTCGTGGTCGCATAGATAGCCGCAGTGGTAGTTGCGGTAACACAAATAGTGGCAGTGGTAGCCGAAGTTGCACAGATAGTGGCGGTGGTAGTCGTGGTCGCATAGATAGCCGCAGTGGTAGTTGCGGTAACACAGATAGTGGCAGTGGTAGCCGAAGTTGCACAGATAGTGGCGGTGGTACTCGCGGTCGCATAGATTTCGGCAGTGGCAATCGCGGTCGCAAAGATAGCCGTAGTGGTAGTCGCGGTCGCATAGACAGCGGTTATGGTAGTTGCGGTCACACAGGCAGTGGCAGTGGTAATCATCGTCGCACAAATAGTGGCAGGGGTAGTCGCAGTCGCACAGATAGTGGCAGTGGTAGTAGTGGTCACACAGTTAGTGGCAGTGGTAGTCGTGGTCACACAGATAGTGGCAGTTGTAGTCGCGGTCGCACAGGTAGTAGCAGTGGTAGTCGCGGTCACACAGATAGTGGCAGGGGTAGTCGTGGTCACACAGACAGTGGCAGTGGTAGTCGCGGTCTTACAGGTAGTAGCAGTGGTAGTCGCGGTCACACAGATAGTGGCAGTGGTAGTCGCGGTCACACAGATAGTGGCAGTGGTAGTTGGGGTCACACAGATAGTGGCAGTGGTAGTCGCGGTCGAACAGATAGTGGCAGTGGTAGTCGGGGTCACACAGATAGTGGCAGGGGTAGTCACGGTCACTAAGATAGTGGCAGTGGTAGTCGGGGTCACACAGATAGTGGCAGGGGTAGTCACGGTCACTAAGATAGTGGCAGTGGTAGTCGCGGTCGTTAAGATAGTGGCAGGGGTAGTCGCGGTCCTACAGGTAGTGGCAGTGGTAGTCGCGCTCGCACAGGTAGTGGCAGTGGTAGTCGCGCTCGCACAGATAGTGGCAGTGGTGGTCACGGTCACACACATAGTGGCAGTAGTAGTCGCGGTCACACACATAGTGGCAGGGGTAGTCGCGGTCCTACAGGTAGGGGCAGTGGTAGTCGCGGTCACTAAGATAGTGGCAGTGGTAGTCGCGGTCACACAGATAGTGGGAGGGGTTGTCGCGGTCACTAAGATAGTGGTAGTGGTAGTCGCAGTCGCTAAGATATTGGCAGGGGTAGTCGCGGTCGCACAGGTAGTTGCAGTGGTAGTCGGGGTCACACAGATAGTGGCAGTCGAAGTCGCAGTCACACAGGTAGTAGCAGTGGTAGTCGCAGTCACACAGATAGTGGCAGTGGTAGTCGCGGTCCTACAGGTAGTGGCAGTGGTAGTCACGGTCACTAAGATAGTGGCAGTGGTAGTCGGGTTCACACTGATAGTGGCAGTGGTAGTCGGGGCCACACAGATAGTGGCAGTGGTGGTCACGGTCACACAGATAGTGGCAGTGGTAGTCGGGGCCACACAGATAGTGGCAGTGGTAGTCGGGGTCACACAGGCACTGGCAGTGGTAGTCGCGGTCACACATATAGTGGCAGTGGTAGTCGCGGTCACTAAGATAGTGGCAGTGGTAGTTGCGCTCGCACGGATAGTGGCAGTAGTAGTCGAGGTCACTAAGAAGGTGGCAGTGGTAGTTGGGGTCACACAGATAGTGGCAGGGGTAGTCGCGATCCTACAGGTAGTGGCAGTGGTAGTCGCGCTCGCACAGATAGTTACAGTGGTAGTCGCGGTCACACAGATAGTGGCAGTGGTAGTCGCGGTCACACAGATAGTTACAGTGGTAGTCGCAGTCACACAGATAGTGGCAGTAGTAGTTGCGGTCACTAAGATAGTGGCAGTGGTAGTCGGGTTCACACTGATAGTGGCAGTAGTAGTTGCGGTCGCACAGATAGTGGCAGTGGTAGTCGGGGCCACACAGATAGTGGCAGTGGTAGTCGCGGTCGAACAGATAGTGGCAGTGGTAGTCGCGGTCACTAAGATAGTGGCAGTGGTAGTCGCGGTCACACAGAGAGTGGCAGTAGTAGTCGCGGTCGTTAAGATAGTGGCAGGGGTAGTCGCGGTCGCACAGGTAGTGGCAGTGGTAGTCGCGCTCGCACAGGTAGTGGCAGTGGTAGTCGCGCTCGCACAGATAGTGGCAGTGGTAGTCGCGGTCACTAAGATAGTGGCAGTGGTAGTTGCGGTCACACACATAGTGGCAGTGGAAGTCGCGGTCACACACATAGTGGCAGGGGTAGTCGCGGTCCTACAGGTAGTGGCAGTGGTAGTCGCGCTCGCACAGATAGTGGCAGGGGTAGTCGCGGTCACTTAGATAGTGGCAGTGGTAGTCGCGGTCACACAGATAGAGGCAGTGGTTGTCGCGGTCACTAAGATAGTGGCAGTGGTAGTCGCGGTCACACAGATAGTGGGAGGGGTTGTCGCGGTCACTAAGATAGTGGCAGTGGTAGTCGCAGTCACTAAGATAGTGGCAGGGGTAGTCGCGGTCGCACAGATAGTGGCAGTCGAAGTCGCGGTCACACAGGTAGTAACAGTGGTAGTCGCGGTCACACAGATAGTGGCAGTGGTAGTCGCGGTCCTACAGGTAGTGGCAGTGGTAGTCACGGGCACTAAGATAGTGGCAGTGGTAGTCGGGGCCACACAGATAGTGGCAGGGGTAGTCGCGGTCACTAAGATAGTGGCAGTGGTAGTCGCGGTCACACAGATTGTGGCAGGGGTAGTCGCGGTCGCACAGGTAGTGGCAGTGGTAGTCGCGGTCGCACAAGTAGTCTGCAGCAACAGGAGAAGTTTTAATGGTGAAGCAGTGGAAGTTGAAGCTCTCTGATATCTGTCGGACATCGGATACGGCACGTATAAGAGGCTGCCAAGGATACCTTTGAAACCCTACAGTCCGTATTAAAGAGGTTACACTGTGCACGCATCGTAAACGTATCTCGCCATGGGGAATACAGTTTCAGCTTATATCACGTGAGAGAAGGCTGTTTCCTCATGGCTGAAGACAAAAACAAGCAACAATTCTAAATTCCCAACTGGGAAAAAATTACGAAACATAACGATACTGCGATTAGTATGTATATAATAATCTCTATGGAAATCTACACACGGGTGCCGCTTTGGCAATAAGTCAATTACCACCAACCATACTGTAACTATCATATACATACATTCCGTGCACAATCCTGTTTCTTGGGTGATTGTCTCCCTTTGGGAATCTCACTTCCTGTCACGTGACGAGTGACAGTCCACGTGATGTATTGTGAGAGCAGAACTGTATGTGTTTTCTTTTCAACGAGTCCTCGGAGAGGTGATGTGTATATCTGCCGTATTACTGGCCCCCTCTTGGCAATATCGACAAACCGGGAAGGAGTCCCTGTGGTGCATTTTAAGTGTTGGGTTAATGAAACGAGGAGCATGAATATTCATGAAAATAATTTGTATGTAGATTATATTTGGAGATATGTAGTTTTCCCATCCATGGAAAATTGTCTAATTCTTGACAGTAATTTATAATTGCATTGTCATATGACGTCAGACTGTGATGACGTCAATACCACTCAGGTCGTTATTGCGATATCCTCACGTGGGGATTTCGGGATACAAAAGGATCGAAATCCCATGCTTGTCGCCAGACGAATTAACTGATTCTCGGTTGTCAAATATAAGTGATCTGGCACTTTGTGTGCTATGTTATCTTGCGACGTAGGTTCTTCATGCTTTCAACCAATCGTTTGGCTGATCTTGCCCTCGACTACAGACAGACCGCTGTGATATACTTGACAGCAGCGCTAAACAACATTCAATAGCAATCAGTATTGATGCGATGTCCTAAAATGGATTCCTCGGCTTTTGCCTCGGTTTTATCGTTTATGTTTCCACCGACCGCCCCCGTGGTCTAGTGGTAGGGCGTCCGCCCGGAGAGCGAAAGGTCCGGGGTTCGATCCCCGGCCGCGTCATACCAAAAGACGTTGATAAATGGTATTGTTGTTGCCCTACCTGGCCCTCGACATTAAGACTGGTCGGCTTGGTGTCGGTATACTGTGTCGGAGTAGGGTATTCATGTTAAACTGCGGCATGGTATCTCAGTGTGCTAGCACCATAAAATCGGCATGAGTCCGAACTAGTACAAGCAGACACACACACGTGCATGCACGTCGCTATATAAGTGCAACAATACTACCCTTGATCGTAACGTTCAACCCTATTTCAACCCCCAAAATGTTTCCATCTCACATATCTCAGCCATCGGACAGATGTGGTCAGATGTATACGACAGGTTTAATGAGGATTCGAACATGTCTGCATGTCCCCAATAACGGTAGACAGATGGAGAGTTCATTCTTCCGATTCTCAGTTCTGGGTGGTCAGTTTCAAGCAAAATGACGCCACATTGTTCGATTGTTAAAGGGGGCACGGGTGGCCCAGTCGTCTAAGGCGCCGCGATTCGCTGTGCAGAGTGAATGTGGGTTCGAATCCCGGTTCGCCCCAAATATGTTTCTAGGTTTGTCAGCACCATCCCCGTGCTCGTGGGTTTCACCGAAGTGGTAAACGTCTGAGACCTGCATCACTTCGGGCTTTCCTCCCACATTAAGCTGACACGCCGTGATATAACTGGAATAATGTTAAAAGCGGCGTTAAACCCAACTCACTCACTCGATTGTTAAATATGGAATGCCGTCATACATTGTTTGTTGTGTATTACGCTATTTGAACTATTGACTGTGTCAGTGAATTTTAATCTGTAGGCTTTATATTTCCAAATTTTCATTCTTATTATTACAACGAATAAATTATAGACTAATCTACGTTGCCTGTTATAGATCCATCGTCAAGCTATTACGTCATTCCTTCACCGGGGACAGAACTGCGTAATCCCTGGCAGGTCGTAGGTTATTCTGAAGTTCATTATTCATTACACTATAGACAGGAATATGCCCTGATATGCGAGTCATGACACGGATAGGAGTTCTACCATTATGATTGATCGACTGAGTTATATATACTACCGAGCAAAAGAAATTGCATAAATGTTTGATGGTGGTTAAAAATCAAACAAACAGAGTGGTTTATCGATGGTGATGTATTTGGGTGTCATAGTTGTGTCCTTGACCTTAGGTTTGCTGTTTCGGGGGCTGTTTTCAGCTGAGTGAGTGAGTGAGTGAGTGAGTATGGTTTCATGCAGCTTTTAGCTATTTTCCAGCAATATCACGACGGGGGACGCCAGAAATGGGCTTCATACATTGTACCCATGTCGGGAACTAAACCCGGGTCTTCCGTTGGACAAGCGAACACTTTAACCACAAGGCTACCCGACCGCCCCATTCAGCCTAGTAACCCTTTTATAACGTTATAAGGGTTAACTTAATCTTAAACATATCGCAAATCAACCCACTGTTTATCGTTCTGCCTTGACATTCTTAACATTGTTTCTTTACATGTTCGGGGGGCACGGGTGGCCCGGTCGTCTAAGGCGCCGCGATTCGCTGTGCAGAATTGCGTCCCTTTGGCACGCCAGAAACCTATGATTGTGGGTTCGAATCCCGGTTCGCCCCAATAATGTTTCTAGGTTTGTCAGCACCATACCCGTGCTCGTGGGTTTCACCGAAGTGGTAAACGTCTTAGACCTGCATCACTTCGGGCTTTCCTCCCACATTAAGCTGACACGCTGTGATATAACTGGAATAATGTTAAAAGCGGCGTTAAACCCAACTCACTCACTCTTTGCATGTTCAGTCTCATGAGTCCCGGCACTGTTACTGATGGATGGAATAAAAGAAAGCTCATTTCCATATATTTCAGCCCATGATCATGCACGGGAATATCTAACATGATTTTTGTTCGAGAAAATTACTTCATTAAATGAAATTAGTTTTAGTGTCTTGAAAATAGATATATGATGTTTATCCTCAAATCAGTCGGTCCAACACACTGACCATGCTACTTCTTCCTGAACAAAATGCGATCGTTTCATTGTTGAAAGTATTCAGCAAGCGACAAGCGCTTATAATGTTTCACCAGATGTTTTGAAGATCGAGGCTCTAAAGTCTTGTGACGAGTGACACAAGCATAAAGAGCAACATGCCTGATATTCGTATCTCGAAAACGAACTGAAAACAAGCTCCTAACGTTTGTTGTTTAAAGCCATCTATATGACGACGGTCTGTACTGTTGCGTTTTTGAGACCTGTCTTCTACATCTTGTAATTATTCTGGCTAGACGCCGTTCTTTTGTAGCCATATTTTATTCTCTTCAACCTTCACCTCTGCCCAAGGGCAGATAATCCAAAACGTCATTTCATTTCAAACCGCCAGAAAATAAAGATGACATGCTTATCCTTATGTGAAATTTACATTCAAATTTACTACCAAATGTATTCCGTTTTGCTACGCTACAGTCCATAATCGAGTATGGACCAGACAATCCAGTGATTGACATCATGAGCATCGATCTACACAACTGGGATACGATGACATGCAACCAAGTAAGCGAACCTGACCACCTGATCCCGTTGGTCGCCCTTAACGACAAGCATAGTCTCTTCTTATGGCAAGCGTTGTTTACTGAAGACCTATTCTCTAACCGAATCTTCAAGGGTCAGCTCCAGACGTAGATAAATAGGAGCGCGACATTATATTGAATCCAAGTGACAAGGAAATGAAGCCGAGTGGTTTTAGATATCTGACATCTCATTGGCTGAAGAATCCACGCATTCATCATTTAGTTTGGGTGGTCAAAGTTGCCTGAGGAAATACCTGACCCGACCTTCTATTGACTTGTACTTATATCTTCAGCAAAGCGATATCATATCGGAGAAAATAAATCTGATTTTAATGAGATTGTTCATACTCGTACCAGTGAAGTATGCTGATGGTTAAAGCGTTCGCTCGTCATGTGGAAGGTCCGGGTTCGATTCTCCATATGGGCATAATGCATGAATCCTATTTCTGGGATGTGGCTGGATTTTGCTAAAAGCTGAGTAAAACTATACCCACTAAATTATTCGTCCATACTCTGTTACTAACATGCGTATGTTGTTACCTTCAGATCACAACAATATTTCACAGGGGTGGTATTAATATCAATCACATTCTCATATATTATGTATTGCAGTTTATATTAATAAAATATATAAAAAACCAACAATTATCCTTGTTCTTAATTGAAAACATGCTCTGCATACCATATCACCCACCACTGTGTTTACAGTTTTGTTTGTTTGTTGTTTAACGCCGCACTCAGCAATATTCCAGCTTTACGACAGCGGTCGGTAAATAATCGAGTATGGACCAGACAATCCAGTGATTGACAACAAGAGTATCGATCCACGCAACTGGGATACGATGACATGCATCAACCAAGTCAGTGAGCCAGACCACCCGATCCCGTTAGTCGCCTCTTATGACAAGCATTGTCGTCTTTTACGGCAAGCATGCTGTGTTAACATGAAGCATTGTATCTCCACATATTTTATAGTATATATAACGATGACAAAAGCTTTAAAAACAGTTCAAAACATTCAAATCGGACTGTAAATATAAAACAATAACGCCAGAGAATAATCAGTTTCGATTATCCCCCAAAACTGATTCCGTTGGGTGTAACAGGCAAATTATGGTGGAACTTATATGAATAGATAGATAACTCCAAATCAGTGATGACACAAGGTGTTCGCGAAAAGATAAGTGTGTGTTTATTGCCTGACACCGCACAGTAGGATTCCTGCCATACGATGGCTGGCGACTTACGGGATCGGGTGGTCAGGCTCGCTGACTTGGTTGATGCATGTCATCGATCCCAATTACGTGGATCGATGCTCATGATGTCAATCACTTGTCTGGTCCAGACTCGATTATTTACAGACCGCCGTCATATAGCTGTAATATTGCCGAGTGCGGCGTTAAACAACAAACCAACCAACGATGGCTGTCTGTAAACAATCGATTCTTGACCAGACAATCAAGTGATGGACCAGACAATCCAGTGACACGAAAGCGCATTTACTGAATTGTTGAAACTAAAAATGATATATGTTTCTTTTAAATTACGTCTTCGAGTTAGTCTACATTTTGTTGCGGACAGTAATCACAATATCTGGGGCAGTCGGTAGCCTAGTGGTTAAAGCGTTCGCTCGTCACGCCGAAGAACCAGGTACGATTCACCCACATTGGTACAATGTTTGGAAGCCCATTTCTGGTGTCCCCCGCCGTGATATTGCTGGAATATTGCTAAAGGCGGCGCAAAATCTCACTCACTCACTCACAATATCTAGAATTTCTTGCAATGACGATCTGTTTTAATCTTGAGTTGATAACAAATTCTAATCATTGTTAAGTACGTCCTTAAATCTTGAGTTTAAGGATCTAGATACATTTCACAACGAACTTTCAAATTGCTATACAATACCAGTTTCTTAGATTCATTTTTGGATGTGATGTGCGTTAAAATATCAGTCATTTTACACATTGACTGTAACATATATACACATATGGGCAGACTACAGTTGACGACAGGAGTAGTCAATTATTGCTTAGGTAGGGTTATTTTAGTAGTCAAAATGGTAATGAGTAGACCATCTTAATAAACGGACAAAAGAAAGCGTACACTTGAAAATTGGATTTGACCAACAAATAATTATCAGAACGTTACTTAAGGTCCAAACCACACTGAATTTGTTGAAACTAAAAACTATATGTTTACTTCAAATTACTTCTGCGTACAAGTGCAGAGATTCTGTGCTGACAAGTCAAGAGAAACGTTTAGCAAATATGTTCGTTTTGCGACACTGTTGGGGGCAGTTTTAATTATTGTGACCCAAACAGTTCTTTTGGCTGACTCAGCATAATTGACAAATACTACTGTCTACAAAGAAACAGTCCAACAGCAGAAACATCGACCCAGGTCAAGGAAATATACAGCGTCAACGCAGGAGAATAACGGGTCCAACGAGTAAGGAATAGCTGCTGTTTTCTTTGTACCGATGTAAGGACATGTGCAAGTACCTCGCTTACTCTTGCAACATTCATGTAAGTATTCATTTGCTTGACCAATGCTGACCAAGGTGAGGGATGTGGCAATCAGGCAGTGGTCCTGAAGTGTCAAAGCCGGAAGCAATGGCCACTGTGACCTACAATTAGGCAGTGAGGTCAGACAAAACGTCGTTTACTAAGGGATGGAACCCAGATGTGGTAATCAAGTCCTGAAGTAATGACCAGACACGTGTGGCTCCTGGATAGCCTGATTAAAAATTCATATCATACAATAAATGACTTTCCTTTTTGAGAATTTGTCTCGAACTCTGCCTTTTGAAACCAAAGTCCGATTGGATACACAACGTGCCGTCCATCATGTCAATTAAACACTTCAAATACAACATGTGCATCTGTCTCTCATTTGTCCTTCTTTAGCAACATCACAATATTGCGTCAATATTTGAGAGTTCATACAGTACCATGTTATCGAAGTGAGTGAATTATGGAGTCTGGCCTAACGCCGCTTTGAATAGTATTTCGTTGTGTCAAGGAGCGTCAGTTTGATGTGGAGGAAAGCCTGAAGTGATGTCTGATCAGATTTCATACTTTCCCGAGTGCTGTTTTGCACTGACCGATACTGAACTATATATTGTTTATATATTTACGTCCGAAAAGCTTGATTTAACGCTAAACGCACTTACCATTCGTTCTTTGACACGCGCCACTTTTCGTGACGTCATTGCGTCATAAGAACGTGGAGGCTCTATTTAAAAAAAAAGGTGAGGTGAGGTGAAATTGGGTTTAACGTCGCGTCTAAGATTATTGCACTTATATAGCGACGTGCATGTACGTGTATGTGTGTGTGTTTGTGTGGCTGCTTGTACTAGTCCGGACTGATGCCGATTTATAGTGCTAGGTCACTGAGATACCATGCCGCAGTTTAACATGAATACCCCACTCAACACAGTATACTGACTCCGAGCCGACCAGTCCTTGTTTTAGCCCCTTAATGCCGAGCGCCAGACAGGGTAACAACAAGTACCATCTTTTAACGTATTTTCGTATGACGCGGCTGGGGATCGAACCCCGGACCTTCCGCTCTCCGGGTGGAAAGCGACAAGAAAACATATCATTTTCATGAGAAATCTCTGCTTAAAGCATTATCCCTTGTACGAATCCAACTGTATCATGAGCCAGGTGTTCGCGAAAACCTTGACCTTCACCTTTGTGACCTGTAAAGATCCGTCCTTGCTGTCATCAGTTTCCATGAGACCCGTGAAGATCCGGTGTAGAATAGGTCTTCAACGACCCATGCTTGCCGTAAAAGGCGATAATGCTTGTCGTAAGAGTCGACTAACGGGATCGGGTGGTCAGGCTCGATGACTTGGTTGATGCATGTCATCGTATTCCTTTTGCATGGGTCGATGTTCATGATGTCAATCACTGGATTGTCTGGTCAAGACTCGATTATTTACAGACCGCCGTCATACAGCTTGAATATTGCTGAGTGCGGCGTTAAACAAAAAACAAAACAAACAAAACAGTTTCGATGAATCTACTTTTAACGTACCCGTGCGGGGAATCGAATTAAGGCCTTGGACCGACGCACGAAAGGTTTAACCCTACCATCTCCCTACAAAACCACTGACCTGCCTTGTCCAGACTCGATTAAACAACAGACCGGACAAAAGGTACAGATGATCGACAAGGGGATTGTGAGAATATGCGGGAAATACCACCACTTAACCCACCTGTTCATAAAATGGACTTGTCCGACACTGCCGTGGTGGGATTCTATATACGGAGTCATCATTATTAAAAATAGGTTAAATATTTCTTCACAAATTTCAATACAGCTTTAACCGCCTCACAAAACAATAAGCTGAACAATTGCCGTACCGTAAAGGTTTAATTCGGATGAGATACGGTCCTTCCCTAAATGTCGTGAACAGATAAAGGTTATCACTTGAGAACACGCCAACATTCGACGGACCTTGTATTCATTGATTGGCCTCTTCGTAATGCCTTGAACCACTTTCATTTGAGTTTTAATCAGGTCGTTTACTCGACACCTCTCCGTGTGAAGATCTGAGGAAACCGCCATTGGAGATCGCGTCAGGTGAATCCCGAGCGGTCTTTGAACACCCTATCGAAATGAAGCATGTGTGGGGTCTTCACCCAATCTGATGTCAGCTTTCAAAAACGATTCGGTGTAAATTCTTAAGTTCAGAAATTTTGATCTCAACACGTGAAAGCCCACAAAGAATAGTGCCAACGCGATTAGAAACGTGAGGTTATCAAAAATATCCCTACCATGTGTAATCATGTGTGACCTTTGTCGTTTACCATTCAGAATTGCACGTTTATGTTTGTTTTCGAAATATGGGAGTAAACTATTTGATTTGATTGATATTTGTATACGCACATACCAGACGCATGACATGTTTAATTAGGTATTATTATAATATTATTATGATTACTCATTAACGCTAGCCACACAGTGAAACCTCGGTTATCCAGACGTCCCGGATGAATAAATTTTCAGATTTACAAATCGTAGGTGCATAGATATGTTGCTGTAGACGTATACAAACTTCCACAACAAGATCAGAAATTATAGTGTCCTGATTAACGGGGTTCGGACGAACGAGGTTTCCCTGTATTCTACTTTCTCACACTTTAAGAAAGAAAAATAAATTCTCAAAAGTTGAGGTAGATGTAAAGCTTATAATTCATTACATAATATATTCAGTTGTTGAAGTTTACAACTCTGGCAAGGATGGCAGTTTCCTCAAAATTAAATCGATTAAATTATTGGATTGAACTACGCATCCTTCCTACTCATCTGTAAAATTCGGTGACAACATTTTAAAATTCATCTCGTCGAGTTAATCGTGTCCGCCAATTTGACGTCGTACATTATACTCAACGAATAACTACGCGTCGTCATTTACTGGGGACGTAGTATTGATACAAATCTCCCCGGACAATAACATTGCATATAAGCAAAAAAACAAATAACAAAAAACTGTGCACATCACCCGAGATAGGAGGTGAGGTGAGGTGAAATGGGGTTTAACGTCGCGTTCAAGATTATTGCACTTATATAGCGACGTGCATGTACGTGTGTGTGTTTGTGTGGCTGCTTGTCCGGACTGATGCCGATTTATAGTCCTTGCTCACTGAGATACCATGCCACAGTTTAACATGAATACCCCACTCAGACACAGTATACTGACTCCGAGCCGACCAGTCCTTGTTTTAGCCCCTTAATGCCGACAGGGTAACAACAAGTACCATCTTTTAACGTCTATGGTATGACGCGGTCGGGGATCGACCCCGGACCTTCCGCTCTCCGGAATAGGAACAAAAGGACAAGAAGGCCATCACGTTAAGTGTCTGGATAAAGGAGATTTTGTACCCTCAGCGCCCCATGCATCGGTGCTTGGCCTGCTGGATCCCGCCAGCGAACGTCGAAGCTTGAGTGAGTGAGTAAGTTTTGTTTTGCGCCGCTTTCAGCACTATGCCAACACTATCACGACGGGACACACAAAATTGAAAGTTCGGTATTTTAAAAACAACCATCGGTACAAAAATAAAATAATTGATATAATACCTCAATGAAATTGTTCAGGATAAATAAAAAAGACAAAAATCTAAACATGATTACATGGCCTTACCGAAATTGAGAAATGTGAGTGTTCGTTAAGACATTTATTTCAAGAAAAAGACTCGCGAATCATCACAGACTATTTAAAGAAAGTCGATTAGCGAGGATGAAGATGCCTTGTGTCCGAACTTTGATTAGTGACGGACAGAGGTGGGAGGTTATTGACGTTTCTAAATACTCTGGAACATTAATGAATAGGGGTTATACTGGCAATGAAGAAAACACGTTATAACGGGGACTTGACATACGCACGTCAGACAGAACGTGCTATTGACGGCGGAAGGGGATGAAAAGGTACATTCTTTGGCTGGACTTCTGACAAGGTTTAATAAACGGGAAAACAAATTACAAACAAATGTAAAAATAAAGAAATGTGGCTTAGTTAATTGATCACTCGTCCTTCAGTACAGCCTATTCCTGGTTTAAGCAAAAACAAATCCCTTTGTGGGACGAGGGTATGTGTGGATTTTTGTGTGGGATTGGGTGTGGGGTGGCTGCGGATGTGGGTGTGGGTGTGGGTGTGGGTGGGTGTGATTGTGGGTGTGGGTGTGGGTGTGGGTGTGGGTGGGTGTGGGGTGGGTGCGGATGTGGGTGTTGGTGTGGGTGCGGGTGCGGGTGTGGGTGTGGGTGTGGATTTTTGTGTGGGTGTGGGGTGGCTGCGGATGTGGATGTGGGCGGGTGTGATTGTGATTGTGGTTGTGGGTGCGGATGTGGGTGCGGATGTGGGTGTTGGTGTGGGTGTGGGTGCGGGTGTGGGTGTGGGGGTGGGTGTGGATGTGGGAGTGGGAGTGGGTGTGGGAGTGGGGGTGGGAGTGGGAGTGGGAGTGGGAGTGGTTGTGGTTGTGGGTGTGTATGTGGATTGGGTGTGGGATGGGTGTGGTTGTGGGTGCGGGTGCAGGTGCGGGTGTGGGTGTGGGTGTGGGTGTGGGTGTGGGCGTGGATGTGGATTGGGTGTGGGGTGGGTGTGGTTGTTGGTGCGGGTGGGGGTCTGGGTCTGGGTCTGGGCGTGGGCGAGGGTGTGGCCGTGGGCGTTGGCGTTGGCGTGGGCGTTGGTGTTTTTCAAACAGGTGACTCGTGCCTGCTACAAAAGGCCACCATGCAGTACTTAAAGAGCCAAAGTTAATTTGAAAATATGAACCGACGATAAAATTCAAATATCGATACTTTAACAATTAATTACATATTAACCAAAACTAAGGGACATATAATAATTGAATACAATTTCAATTATTTAAAAATATAATTATCCTCCGCTTCTTCGCGTTTGAAAAAACAAATGATTTTCCCGTGTTTTTTTCAGGTGCCAATTGACCTTCCTTCGCATGTGTTTGTGACGCGTGCCTCCGATGGGGACTACACCTGGTATCATTACTACTTCATAGTGATTCATAAACACATGCTCATGATAAAGTCGCAATCATACAACGGCTTTTAGTTGAGTAGAGATTTCCAATGACTATGTAAAGGGTTTTGTCTATTAATTATTTGTCATTGCCATAATGTAGAGAGGTAGACCGTTCTTTTCACGCGGAGATATGATGCTATGATGACGTCAAAGGCCATGGCGGCAATAGAATTCGTAATTGCGTTAATGCAAACAAGGACGGTTCCATTCCCACGGTCAAAGGGTCCAACCTGACGTACCCCGTGGGGACAGAGTTAGAATTTTAGGGACGCGGTTGCCAATCTCGCTTAAGTGATTCATTCCATCTGCTCGTAGTGTGATGGTGTGGGTTGTTGCTCATGCTATCAACCACTGGTTTGTCTGGTCCAGGATGAAGCTACTGGGAAGGCAATACGTGCTGTCACGTTTCCTGATGTCATCATCGATACCATGACAGAGAGTAATGAAGAAAGGTTCTTGAAGTTCATGATGATAAATAAACTGACGGCAAAAAGAAACTTCACTATAATTTTAAATCACTCTTGTTTAAGAAACACAAACGATAGATGCATGAAGTAAAATGTACTGTAAAGATTCAAATCTCAACGAAAACAACATTTAAAATGACAGTCATTCAGCATCAGATATTGGCATGACAGTTGCCCAAATTGTGAGTGAGTGAGTGA